TGGGGCTTCAACAGAGAACATTCCCAGAGGTTGGAAAGCCGTGGGGCAAGGAACAGACCGGCCCCGGGGCTCGGGAGGGGGAAGGTCCTCCTCGTTTGGCCCTTTCCCAACGTCCTCCTCGCTCCCCCTTCCCAGCCACTGAACCCAAAATCTTCACAAATATTAACAGAAACAACGCTGTGTCTGCTCAATCTGCCTCTTCACAACCCTGAGCCCAAACAAAGACACTTTATCTTCGGCACATTTTAACAGAAGGATTAATGTTCCTGCTCTGGAAGGGGAGGAACAGATGTGGAACTGAGCTGGGAAGCTGTTGAACAGCAACCACGGCATCTCCCACTTGGACTGGCAGCTCTGACAGAAACCTGAGACTAAAGAAACACAAAGTTCATGTTTCTAGCTCCTTCTTATCTCAACTGCCTTTAATCACAGAGAGAATTCAGAATTTCTGCTCGAGATCTGAGCTCACCCACACTCCCCCCTTTTTAAAAACGTAATATTTTGTGTCAGTATCGACATTCTAGGAAATAAAAAGCCAAAGAAGCACAGATTTAGGAGGAGTTGGGGGTTACCACAAAGACCTGGGAGCCTTTTTTCAACGTGTGGAGTGAGTACAGCCTTCTAAAAGCTCTGGAATGGACTTTGGGGGGGTTATAAACATCAACCAAGACCCTACTAAAAAAAAAAAAGAGAACCTTCCAGTAACCCCCAACCACTCAGCAAAATTCACAGGAAGGCACAGCACTTAAAAAAGAGCCACAGGGCAGCTGTGGAGGGACTCCAGTGCACTGCACAGACATTAAATTGTACAGCCATTAAACTGTACAGACATTAAATTGCTCCACTCCTTCCACTTTTTTATTAAAAAAAGTACATTCGTTAATCTGCAGCTCCTTAATTTCCACCCCCTCCCAACCTGAAGTGTCACCAGAGTTTAATCACTCTGGGAAATGCCACCACTGAGCACTTCCTACCGACAGCAACGTGTGCAATAAAACCATAGCATGTTCTAATGATATATTTGTTACTGTACTAAATAATAAAACCAATGTGCAACAAAACTGCCAATCCCAAATGCAGGTTGATTCCCTGGTTAAGTGGTTCCCTCAGCACAGGGTGTCACCAGAGCTCGGGACAAAAGCAGAGGTGGAAGATTTGGGGCAGCAGCAGCAGCACCTGCCAACTTTTAGAGGTGCCAAAGTGCCAGATTTTACTTCCAGAGCCCAAAGGGGGCTTTAAAAAAAAAAAACCAGAGCCAGAGAGACTTTTTATACAGGGCAAGGGGGGACGGTTTTAAACTGCCCGAGTGCAAGGTTAGCTGGGATACTGGGAAGGAATTCCTCCCTGTGAGGGTGGGGAGGGGCTGGGATGGAATTCCCAGAGAAGCTGTGGCTGCCCCTGGATCCCTGGAAGTGTCCGAGGCCACTTTGGAGCAACCTGGAACAGTGGAACGTGGCCCTGCCCACGGAACTGGATGTGGTTTAAGGCCCTTTTCCAACCCAAATCAGGCTTTTCCATCAGCTCTGCTACCTGGAAAACCCTTCAGGAAAAACTCTCTAAGAGCGGGGCTGGATGATCCTCGCGGGGTCCCTTCCAGCCCCCAACATTCCGTGATCCCGGGGAAAAACTTTATCTCCCCAGAGGCGGCTTCCTAAAGCCTCGCAAGGCCTGACCCCACAGCCGAGGAAAAAATTAAAATTATGTTTCCTGAGTGATTTTGTCGCCCCCAACTCCACCGTTTCCCGACAAAGACGGTCTCTGGAGCCCGCCCGTGACGCCCCCTCGCCCCCCCCACCTTGTCGGCCGTGCTGGGCGCCGGCTTCAGCTTCCCCTTGGCCATCAGCATGGCGTTGATCTTCGCCGCCACGGCCGCGGCCGCATCCAGCGCTCCCGAGGGCGCCGCGGAGCCCTCGGAACCGGCCACGGCGGCGCCGCCATCGCCGCCCCCGCCGGCGAACGGCCGCCCGGGCAACGGCGCCGTGCCGGGCAGCAGGAAGGTGGGAGCGGGGCCGGGCTGGTCCCACTTGCTGCGGCGCCTGGAAAAGAGGAGAGGAGGGTGAGGCGGTGCCCCCGCGGCGGTGGCGGGGCCGCCCGAGCCCGCCCGGCCGTGCCTCACCCGCCCGCGGCCCCCGCGTCCCGCTGCGCTCCGCCGCCCGCAGACATGGCCGACATGGCGCCCTCAGCGTCACTGCCGCCCGAGCCCGCCCCGCGCAGCCGCTTCCGGCGTCACCTGGGAGACCGCCGGGGCACTTCCGGCCGTTGCCATGGAGATGGGCGGGGAGCTTCCGGGTGATGCCACGGAGATGGGCGGGAGCTTCCGGGTGTTGCCATGGAGACCCAGGGGGCCGGGCCGGGAGGGGACGGGGAGACAGCGGGATCGGGGGATGATGGAATTGTAGGAGCGGGGGGTCGGGGGATGATGGA